CGGCCGTGCTGGAGTACCTGACGGCCGAGATCCTGGAGCTGGCGGGCAACGCGGCCCGCGACAACAAGAAGACGCGCATCATCCCCCGCCACCTGCAGCTGGCCATCCGCAACGACGAGGAGCTCAACAAGCTGCTGGGCAAGGTGACTATCGCGCAGGGCGGTGTGCTGCCCAACATCCAGGCCGTGCTGCTGCCCAAGAAGACCGACAGCCACAAAGCCAAGAGCAAGTAAAAGTAACCTGAGGAGTCATCTCGCCTCAAGAGTAACCCAAAGGCTCTTTTCAGAGCCACCCACTTTCTCTTAAAAGGAGCTGTAGATCCTAAAAAAAAATAAAATCCCCAAATACTTATTTTCACACTCAAAAATGATTAAATTTTACATCTATATTGCAAAATAACAGGTAATTGCTGGTAAATTCATGCTGAAAATGAAGTTGTATTTCGTATGTAAGGAATCATTTTGCTCTCGTAGGGATGAGGACAACAGCTGAAGGTTACTGCAAGGTGGAGCCCACAGCCTTCTCTTGTGTCAGCTTAACGCTGTGTGAAGTAGAGGGAACTCACCGATGTCTTTAAAAAACAACCCAGCCCCTGCAGAGAACCTTTTTTTCTTGTTTTGTTTTGTGGGTTTTTTTTTCATTTTCGTGGTTAGTTTTTTTTTTGTTTTTAAATCGCCCCTCATAACTAGGCATTCCAAATTATTAATTTTTAATACAGCTTTCTTCTGGCTTCGAGTTGCTGTGCCGATTTCCTGCTTGGAAGCTGAACGGGTTTGAGAGTAATTTTTAGATGCTGGACACAGTTTGAGGTAAAAAAGGGCTATTGCCAGTTTTGAGTCTACCTCATATATATAGCACTGACCTTTGCCATCAGGATGTTGAAACAGAAACAGAAAAGCGGTGTTTGTAGGTACATAAATACATTTTAAGAATTATCAATTCAAGAACAAATTATTTGAATCATAACCCTGTACAAAATTTTAGTTCCACTGCCAGTTACAACAGCAAGAGGCAACAAGCAGTTTACAGGCCTTTAGCAAAAAAAACGGGTTGGAGACAATACTGAGACAATAATGTTTTAATTATCTGTGTTCTGAAAAATAAAATGCAATTACTTTTGATTTGTTTAAGTGTGGTCTTGGTAAAGAGCAGATGAAGACTCTCCCCCTCTTGCTAGCAGCCAGTCAATTCAGCATAACAGACATACCAGTTGGATAAGTTATTTTTAATATTACTTCCAATGCAGAAATCTGTCTCTGTACGGCAAAAAAAGTGAGTATTTTGCAATCTGCTGTGAAAAGGAAGCCCAAACCAATAACTTAAGCTCAACTTTTATTGTGTGGAATTATGGAAAAAACAGCTGCAGCAGTGTTTCCTTAGATAAGGATGACTCAGATTTTCACCAATCAAGATGTATGAAAAGCAATACACTGCCAAATTATGAAGCGATAGGGCACTGATTATAATTGTTAATAGAACCTGGCCGTGTTAAGTTCTTATGTCACCTAATTTATTAAGAAAAATAAGTATTTCTGTAGTAGGGCACTAGGAAACCATGTCTGTATTGTGCACACTGAGTAACACAGTACAAGCTGCTATGCCATAAAAAGTCACCTCCTTCTGGGGTACAAACAGCCCTTCACAAGACTTTATTCTACTTCTCACCTTGTTGCTTAATGCACAAATTTAAATTATTTTAATTATTTTGAAAGGGCTAAAGGATTTTGGACAAAGCAGCTAATTTCTAATCCATATTCAGTGCTCAAGATGAGCCTGTGTTACTTCCTCCTCTTTGAAATCAATTTGCGATTAAAATATCGGTTGAAATCCCTGACTTTCAGTTCAGATTAAGAGAAGACCCTTTAAAGAATAATAATTTATTACTTTGGAAATTTAGTTGTCCACGTCGCGGATTTTATTTGTAAGGAAAAACAAAAGTTTCTGTCTCCCGAGGTCTGTCCAGGTCCAGGGCTCGGGGTTTATCGCCTCTTTTTTAACTCACCCTTTACCTCTTCGAAGGGAAACTTCGCCGAGGGGAACAACAGTCTGTCTTTTCCACGCCGCCGCGAACTGCGGGTGTGTCGGCGGCAGAAATTCTGACAAAAACGGGCTTTTTCGACTCCTAAGAAACACAAAATGAGCGGCGAGAAGGGACCTTTCTGCCGTGCAGGGGGGCGGGCGCTGCAACGCACCAATCACCGCGCGGCTCCGCTCTATAAATAAGAGGCCGCGGACGCGCTGCAGGCCCAGTGGTTCCCTCTGATTCGTGGACGACGGCAGTCGCCATGTCGGAGACCGCGCCTGTTGCCGCTCCCGCAGTTTCTGCTCCCGGTG